ATTTTGATGGAGCGGGTCTTCTTCGCTCAGAAAAAAAATTATCGTGCAACTGCTTTTAGTATTTTCGTTCATGCATCTATTCGATTTGCCTCTCACTGCTCTACATTGAATCTTCTGATTATGATTTCAAAGTTTGTACTTCTCCTCTTTGTTTCCAAATGGCTCACTTAGCAGATAAAATAGGTTGTCTCTTCTTTTTATAGGTTTACTGATGAGCGATCATTCTCAAGGAATTGAAGCCAAGCTTTCGATAGAAAAATTGTACTATAAAGAATTTTATGTTAAATAGATTCTCGTTCCGAGTGAGCACATTGTGAACCTAGAGTTAGAATAAATCGAATGCTATTCACATTCCATTAGAGACAAAGAAAGAATATGTTAAAAATGACAGACCGTCGTCTAATTGATGCTATTCAATCTTCTCAAGTTTATTATTGAGAGAAATTATTCTTTTCCTTGTTTTGATAGGTCAAAGAATTGAGTTCGACAGCTGAGAATCTTCCATCTGCCTATCTTAGCGTCAAATTAGTTGGTCTAAAAACAACTCTGAAACCTTTGACGGATGTCAATCCCAAGCTAAAACATGAGATCTTAGAAGGCTACAAAGACACTCAAGCAGAAGACGAATTATTAAAAACGAAAGTGCTGCTATTTGACTCTTCACTTCTGAAGGTGTCTTATATGTTCTACTCAATAGAGCATTTCTAAATAAATAATACGAACAAATCCAACTTAAGTTTGCATATTTCAAACTATTCCACTGTGCTATTGTGAAATTAAAGCTAAAACCAAATGATTCTCTCATGGAAAACTAATAGGTAATAGTGATTCCTATCGGATTAGCTCGAATATTACATATACAGATGAATGAATCGCCAGCAAGAGCAGAAAAATCTTTTCGATCATTGAAGACTTCTCATAGAGAACAATCTTTCAGTATCTATCTGATAATTTCTAGTCCAAACTCCAAAAAGAATTGAACAGCTTTGATTATATCACTGATTGTCCCAAGAGAAGAATCTGAACTTCTATTCATTTGCACTGCAACTACTTCAATATGTGTACTCCAATTGTTAACTTCTATTGAGAAGAGAGAACTCTTCGAAAAATTGACAAGAGAACATTCCAGGTATCGGAACGCTTTTCACTCGGGGTTTCGCGCATCGTGTAGCCCTTAGTAAGCTATACCTATAGTGAAAAAGTTTGGGTTTCTGGTTTTCTTCTAAAGAGATAAAACGTTTTTACTATTACAGTTATAAAGGTCATCTTATCAAGAAAAAAAGTCCTATGCCAATCAATAGAAGTTGAAATGAGTTGAGATTTTTTTTACATATAGTTGTGGTTATGTGGAAGATAATGTGAAAGCCTGGGGTTACAGGAATTTCGGCCCAGAATTTTTGATCATCACTCTTGCATCCTCACTTCATCCTGAAGATAGTTAGGCTCTGGGCCGACAATTCCTTGGGCCAAAATTCCGGTCCCCCAAAGGCTGAGCTCAAACAACTTTGGCAGGATCGAGTTATCAGTTTTATAAAATGCTATACTTGATTGTAGATTCGAAGAATGATTTATCGTCGTTTTGGTTTCTATTCGATGATTGTGTTTGTGATTCTATTTATTGAATGAATTTGAAGAAAATCTTCGATAAACAATCGACTGATCAGTTGCGCTGAAGTTTGTCTTTTTCGAAATCAATTCAAATCTGATTGTTTGGAATTCGATTCAAATATAGCGCCTGCATTGGTAACCGGTTAATTAGTCGCATGGCAATTCGTTGCAAGACGTTTCGTCGCAGATAATTAGTTGCAATGGAAGAAGCAAGATTATGTTGTGATTAGAGTAGTTCTGTTTGACTTCCCATGTAATAAGAATAAGAATTGAAGACCCAGGCAAGCAAAAGACGGATAAAAAGGCTAGTCGTTTTTGCAGTCGTGACTGTACGTCGTGACTACTCTGTTTCTCAGAAAGTCCTTCCACATGACTAGTTCAAAATATCTTTGAGTCTTAAGAGTTTGCATTCTTTTATACTCATACCCACACCTTCTCCCAAGTAATAAATTTCAGAGCTCACCTTTCAGCTATAGAAATTGCTGAAATTTTGATTTATTCATTAAGCCTTAAGAGTCCATCGTCCCTTCTAAGAGACATTAGAATAATTTCAATAAATCCCACTACAAGAGTTTATATGCAAAAACCAACATTTTTCTGAACTGACATGACCTTAGTGATCATACAGAGATGAAAATATAATTCTCAAGTGACTCTGAAACCGAACAATGAAACTATTACGATTCGTAATTTTTTTTAGCATCACTTTTCTTTTCTGAAGTTTTTTTCATTCATATAAGCGACGTACGGCTTTCATTTTTTTAAGCGATATTGTTAAACATAGTGTTAAGGTATCTGATGAAACCATCTCGTAAATGTTAAATCATTTCACTAACGCAGGACACTAAGAGAAAGAAAATGTTCGTTCTATGGGATATTTCGCCTCAAGAAAAAATCGAAACAAGGGGATTTTGACTTGAAATTTTGCTTATAAATAACTGATACGTTATTTAGATTTCCCTGAAATTTTCAGCAACAACTGTTGTTTACTTTTGGAAATACGACATGTTGAAGAGAAGCCGGATGTTGTGAGTTTTTTCGAAAATATTGCCGATATTTTTCTTCGTCCAATATCTCAACAGCAAAGCATCCATTTTGACGGAAAATTTCAGGACAATTTACGGATCATAAAAACTGATTAAGGGCGAAATTTTCGATCGGAATTTCTTTCTTTCAGATTTCTGCAAGTTCCAAGACTTCTGATAACAGGCGTTGTGTAACTCTAGAGGAAGAACAAGGTACTTCGTTTTAGCTATAGTATGAGCATACCTAGGATTCATCAGCTCTTTTTTTATGATTTTCTTCAATCTGTTGCAAGAAAAACCTCCTTGGGCTTTTAGCGGTTAATTTGGCATTTTTATCAATAAATCGTTTCAAAACCTTTGAAAATATATCATAAATTTACAATAACTAGAGTTTTTGAGTTCTACACTTTGGCTTCTCAAGGTTCTACACTAATAATTTTTTTTTATTGTTTTATGCCGATAGTTGTCCGCCATTTAATGAAAACACTCTAATAGATTAGTATAGTTTCTTTCTCTTTGAGTAATTGCGCGGACACCCTCGATGCTTCTTGTGAGAGAAATCAAGAGATCTAGTGTAGTTTACTTTTCTTCTTCTCATCTCCATAATTACTCACAATTTAATACAAGTGATAGAATGAGAAAATACACATGTCTTTTTTCTCGTCATTTATTTACTTCAAGTATCGCCCGTCACTTTTTTTGGGAAATGCAGAAAAAGGTTGGTTTAGTTTGTTTTTCTCCTTCTTGATTGATATATCCTGATACATCTAGCATTTTTTATTGGAGAAATGAAATCGACAGATAATCTTTACTCTTTTTTTTCTCAATTTATTTGTTGTCACAATTGTGCTCTACCGTACGGGGAGACTTAGATAGATTGTTTCAATTCAATCTTCTCTTTTATCATCTAGTTGTTCCCGGAGCAATTGCACAACTTTGTTTTTTATCCCTTAGTTTATGAGCTACGTTCGTACGTTGCTTGCTTGTTTTACGAAATATGAAGAGAACTAGCTTAGTTCTCGTTTTCTGTTGCTGTATTCAATTATTCTGATAATTAGTCCATACGTATTCTATAATCGACATGCGATTAGAAAATCAGCTCTACTTTTTCTTCTTACTGTGCTACGTCAAAGATTGCCCATCATCTAATGAAAACACTCTAATAGATTAGTGTAGTTTCCTTTTTTTTGATGAATTGTGCGAATACTTTCAACGCTTCCTGTAAGAGAAATTAAGAGACACCTGGTGTAGTTTGCTTTTCTTTTCTTCTTTTACTCATCTCTATAATTACCTAGCATTTAACATTAGCAATAGAATGAAAAAAATACTCATTCTTTTTCTTTTGCTTTGTCTTGTTATTGCTAGTATCATCTGTCATTTTCCCGGAAATACGAAAAGAAACTGGTTTAGCTCACTTTTTTTCGTTCTTGACTAAGTTATCTTGATGCTTCTAGTACTCTTTATCGGAGAAATGGGAGCGGAAAATAACCTTAAAAATTAGTTAGAGAACTCTCTCATAAAATTGTGGAAATCATATAGCAAATGCTCCTGTTTATCCATTTGAAAAACACCTTTGCGTAAATGATCATCTTAAATGCTTCGTGATACTGCGTCAAATATCATTTTATATCCTTTTAGTACAATCGATGATCCTTTATAAGGGTTAGCAACCCTTTTCGATATTGTTTGATAAATCTTTGGTCTGATTGAGAAGCGTCATGTAGCCTAGATGAAAGTCATGATTCTTTTAGATTCTCTTATCAAACCTTTCATAAATCCGCGCTGAAATTGAAGATCCACATGAACCTTTTTGTATACTCTCTCAAACTCATGTAGTACAATTGATATTCTGATGAACCCATCTATATAATCCTTCATGACTTTGATTTTATACATTGTACTTTAATGCACTATTGAAGAGTTTATATTTCTACGTTTCTTTTTCAGAGTGTATACCATTACCCTTATAACTAACCCCTTAGACCTTGATTCATATAAATAGACTATTGTAGATAAGTTCTTAGGTGTATACCCTTATAGCCATTTACTTAACTCTTATATCTTCGGACTACTACAGACACCACTATATAGCCAAGAGTGTAGGTGTGATTGTCGTTGAAGAGAACATGCATACTCATATCACAAAAAGTACTCGTTTAATAAATACTGTATTTTATTTATAATGGAATATGTTCGAATGTAGACACTATTTATGATATTAGGAATGAAAGGTTTCTTTTTTATATCAGACTAAAAACCAACGAGCAACACACTGGTCTGAAAAGTCATATTGAACTGTCCTACTAAACGAAAGTATTTCGAAATGATAAAATTACTAGCTTTTATTATCCTGCTATGCTATTTGTTCTACTTCTGCCATGGCGGAACATTACCAGCTTCACAACTAGCTGAACAAACTTTAATAACAACATTGTTAAATGGATATAATAAAAATATAAGACCAGATGACCAAGTATCTATTGATATCACTGCTTCACTACAACAAATTGTATTCATAGATGAAAAACAACAAATAATGACATCAAGTTTATTTATTTCACAAACATGGTACGATGATCGATTATCATGGACAATAGATGCTTCAAATAATAATATTACCGTAGTTATGCTACCGGTTAAAAGTTTATGGATACCAGATACCATGATATTGAATTCAGCAGATGCAAGTGGTTATCTTACAGTGAGTGATTATAGTCTAGCATCTGTCTACTACACAGGTAAAGTCTATATGATATTACCAGCATTAACGATAAGAACAAGATGCAGTTTCAGTGTTAAATATTTTCCATTCGATAAACAAATATGCAGCATAAATTTAACATCATGGAGTCAAGGGTACAATAGAATCATTTATACAGAAAATAGCAGTTTAGTAATTGATATTAGTGGATATAATGAACATCCTTTGTGGAGATTGAATAGAACAGACGTAATTGTAATTGATGCAGCAGATAGGGCACCATTTGAAGATACTTACAATGCTATAATATCAATACAATTATATCTAGAAAGAAAACCATTATTTTTTATCATGAATGGTATATTTGCATGTTTGATTTTAAATTTTGTCACGTTATTATCATATGCATTATCCTTTGTACCACAAATTGCTCTATGTAAGAATATTTTCTTTTTGTCAATACTAAATGGAACTTATAGAATAAATATTTTATTTACATTTTAGGTATGACATGTTTTATGACATATTCTGTTTATTCACTAAATTTCTCCAACCTATTTCCACAACAGTCTCAATACTTAATGATGATTACATTATACTTTTTATTATCAATTTTTTGGACATTCGTATCAATGTTATGGTTTATCATGTATAATTATTTTACAACAAAAGTTGAAATGCCAAAGTCACTTTATAGTTTTTGTGGACTATTGCAAAAAGTGTTTTTTTGTTACTTTCCATCATCAAAAACAGATGACAAGACAAAACAGAAGAACGGTGTTATTGTTGAGAATGGTGAAGTTAATAAGTCTGGGAAGGCAGAAAATGCAAAAGCATCAAGTACTCAAACAATAGAATGTACTTCTTTCCAGGAACTATCAGATTTAGGTGTTCATAGACATCGTAAAGTTAAAAGCATTGAAAACATGCAGCATAGTTCCGTTGCAAGTACCGAAACGGTCACAACAAATCCAATTGTCGGTGCGCCAATCGACACAGTAGCATTTACAAGTGTTAAAGAAACAAGCCAGAGAGCAAAACAAAAATGCAACTTCTGCAATAGATGTGAGTCCTGCCAAACTGATATTGACAAAGATAAAGTGAAAAATAACAATAAAAAAGATATTGAAGCTAGATGTAACGCCTTAAATTATTTTATTTGTTTTTGTCAATTATTGTTGATGCTTATTTCTAATATGGCTGTATGGCTTTCAATGTCAAAATGATCGATTTAAATTTTTTTTTTACTACATCCTTTTTTCACAATAACCATTAAAATTAAAACAAAATCATTGCACATTGTTTAAAACACAATAAAACATGATTTTATTGCTTTCAATAAATTCGTTTCAGCTTCTTTAACCAAGATCTGAAAATCAGAAATTTTGGGTGTGGATTAGACTTTCAGTATTCTATGCATTCACAACTCACATCCATCTGTGCAATTCATGCCCAAAAAAAATTAAAAATTTTTTGAATTGTTGAAGGATAGTGGGTGATTCTGAAAAAGAGACCAATTTTTTTAATAATTCTTTTCAAGAGACGAGTGATTTCAAGGATAAGCCAGATATTTTTAGAATTTTCAGAGTAATATATAGTTTTCTCTGATGGTTTGTTTATAAACTGATGCTGTTCATAATTTTAATTAATCTTATATTTAGGTCAGAGTTTTAACAAATACTAATTAAGAATGATACTTTTCAACTCATTTATATAAACATTCAGTACTGTTATTCTTTTTTTATGGAACAAAACTTGTTGTGTCGACACTGACTTATGTGCATACTTCTTCTATACTATTTAAATTCTCTGTAGCAAATTTTTCAAGATACAAAAACTAATGTTTATATACTGTTGTTTATTCAAAATAGTTTTTCTCGGCACAGACAATTGCTACAGACCTTCACCTTTTCTCTGCAAATTTCAGTTCGAAGAAGAGTAAATAGAAGGTAATTAATCTGATGCAAGTTACTTCAAAAGTTCTAAAACAATTTAAAATCTTATCGTTCTTATTGCTAACGAAACCGAACTTCTTGAAACTTTGATCGATTATTGTATTGGCTTAGTACTAAATTATCACAAAGTTTCAAGATAGTTTCTTTTTTCATATTTGTAATATTAATCGATAGAATTATTAATAACAACGTATTGCTGTTGATTTTAAGAATGTTGTAAATAACCTTAAAATGATCTCCTATTTTTGACTGTAAAATACACACGAACAGACTTTTTTCACATATGAATATAGTCAAAGAGTTATTTTGCTTTTCTTTGATGATATTCTTTTACTAAATTAATTTGTAAATTGTAATTATTAAAAGTGAGCGGAAGTAGATGAAAAAAGTGCAGATTGTTGATAAATTCATTCATACGAAAACAATCAATGGTACAGAAAGCTGTAGCCTTAGCAATTAAGGTTTTTCTTTATAATATTGAGAAAACTCATTAAAAGTAAGAGTTGATATTAGAGAAATGAAAAGAATATATAATGACAAACATATTTTGTGTTTATGCTAGAAAAAGAACATAAATAACATGAAAAAAAAGTCGAAATAAAAAAGAGAATAAGCAAAAAATCATTAGAAATCATATTACGGGCAACGACACATTTTGCCATTATTGAAAATACGGAGGAGAAGGACGTTTTTGATTATTTTTTCGACTTTTTGTTCAGTATTCATTACCTAACAAATCAGGATCATATTATAGTTACATAAATACAATATCGAAAAAATTTTTTTTCACCATGAACACCAACGTTTCTCAATAAATGATATCTTTTATCTGAATTTAACTTCATCATTGAAATATTATATTTCCTTAGCGATATAAATTTTGATTTGAGTTACACAAAGAATGCATATGAAAGATTTTGTTCATTTGCTTTGCATCGATGTATCTCGTTTGAGTGCCTATAATAGAACAACAAGATAATTATGAAAGAATTCAAAAATGATATTAGATCGTACCTTAAATATTAAAGTTGATATCATTGAATAATAAATACATAAAAATAGATTTCCAAATTGAACTAACAATACTGAACACATATAGAATGTAGTTTATTGGGACGTTATGTAGCGTATTAAGCAATCGTCAAATTCAAGATCACGATCAAGTGTGATTTTTGATCGTCCGTGATGAGAAATTTTTTCGGGGGCGTAGTCATGGTCATAAAATATACATTCAAAATTTCAACCATTTATCCAGAAACCTAATACTTTACATTTTAAATCAGAAGAAAACTTGGCAGTTTATATTCTAATTATAAAAAAAAAAAATTTTTTGTTAATTAAGAACAATGCTCTCGAAACAATAATTTCGAATTTTTCTGTTATGAATATGAACTTTAAGCCCTTCTTTTATTAGTAGTAAAAAAATAACTATTGATTTATTCGTATTGTAAAAAAAAGCATAATCAAGTTTGTGTTCTGCTAAAATAACTTTTATGTTATTCTATTCACTAAAATTAAACGTTAAAAGTAGAAGAAAAGATCGATAGAAAAAGTTTTTTTACTTATAGGAAATCTGACAGAAAGATAGGAATTCACAAAAGATTTGTTTCCAAGTTAAGTGGTTAACCTATATTCATGCTCACACTACGATATTATTAATCTATGTTTTATCGTTTTTGTCAATAGAAAATGAGATTGACAGAAACAGATCATAATTAGATAATTCTGTTTAGTATTATTTGTTTTCGTGTTGGCATTTATTCATAATGTGTGATTTACGAAGAAACATACAATATTATTTATGTTTCAAGCGATTGCACCTTTAGAAAATGGTTAAGAAAACAAAATACACAGATAATGACCAACATCAAATAAGTTCTTTTTTTTCTAATTTTGTCAGTACGAAGCCTGCAAAGGACTTTTTGTCTTGTACCCACAACTTATTCATCGCGATCTAGACTTTTTACTTTCATGTTAATCATTTCTTTTTTTTCGTTCTTTGATAAGATTGTGTGACAGTTTTAGGAAAGCCATGACAAATAATAAAAGGAACAATTGCTTTATTTTTTATTCGAGTTCTTATAGTTTTCTAAAATATGTGAAAACATTGAGTTCATTCATGAGTTAAAGATCAAAATGGAAAAATCAAAAGCATTGACATAGAGTTTGTAGTCATTTTTATTATGTGATTTATGAGATTTTGTTAAAAACTGAGTAACAAAACTTATTCGATTCTGAAGTCTTTTTTAATGTTTTTATATAGATAAATGCTGAATAACCTAATTGGTCGTTATTATTGAATAAGTATCTCAAATCAACACTTAACTAGAAGCCTACACAAATTGTTGTGTATCATTTTTATCAAGGATGACGAACCTTGATTTTCGAATATGTTTGATAAAATAAAAAACATTTTCAAATCTTTATGGTCAAAGAAGATATCAAAACAAAATTTAATTGTTTCAATTGACTTTAAATATTGTATATTTCTTTTTTTGTCTTTGAAGTTTTGTCATCTAGTAAGATTTCATGATCTTTTGCTGTAAAATTTGAATATTTCCTTAGTTTAAATTTTATTGTTTAATTATATTCTTTTCAATGCTTTTTCAGAGTCATGCCCGTCCACGCCCACACCCATTCTATCCTTCGCGAAAACCAATACAATCCAGCTCGATCAGTAACTGTACTTATGGTCATTGTCAATGTAGCATTTCTACTGACATACTTCAAAAACCTTACAATTATCAGTCTGAAATTCGTGTTATTATAGGTATTTGATAGAAAGAGAAAATGAAAACAATTAAACAAGAAGTAATACACAAACAGATTAAAACTAAAACATCTTTTCATAAACGTGTATCGAAGGAATAAACCAATAATTTCCAGTTATTGGTGTTGAAAAATCCATAATTCTATCATGAATTCCATCATTCATGCCAATCATGCTATTTAGTTGTTTTTCATGTTTGTTCGGATTGGAAGCATAAGAAATAAAAAACAATCCGTGCTCTTTCATTCCTCCATAAGGTAGCGATTGCCTAACCACTTTGATGTCTATTCCATTCTCTTTGAGATCCGTTCGAGCAACATGAGATGTCGAAACTTTTGGTCTAATCTTTTTACTTTCCTCTCCTTTCGTTCTTCCCATTATATTCTCTTGTTCTTCTTGTGATAGTCTATAAACATTTACCAATAAGATTGCAATTCAGTCAGTTATTGTTATAAAATCGTAACTTACTCATTCCATTTAAACAGATTATGTTTCCATTTTTGAGTTAATGCAAATGACCCTCCGACATGAATTGGAATGTCGTGTCCGTCACATATGAGTGCCGCTTTAGCCTGAATATAAGACTTTCTAAAACACAATGCACACATCTACTTTAAAGTGTACCCTCTGTTCATCTTCCTTCGGATTTTCGTTGCCATCTTCGAAACCAGTAAAATCTAGAGAAAGACCATTTGTTTCTGAGCTCATATACGCAAAGCCAAAAGTTTCATCCAATTTAGCAATAGAGTCATCAGGAATAGATTGACAGAATTGTCGACCCAATTCAAAACAAAGATCTTTTCGATTGCTTCTAATATGAAGCATTAAGTTGCCTTCTAAATTTTTCAATGATCAATGAGTATTATTTACTTATTCGAAAAATCAGATCACTAGCATTCAATTTACTTGTACTAGGCATATATTTTCCTGTAGGACCTTCTTTTTCTTGAAATTCTATAAACGATTTTGGAAATGGAATATTTGCTCGAATAAGCCATTCTTGAGTTTTGTTATATCCAATGCCTAATGTTGCTTCTAGTCTGCAACCTGGATGCAATTGAAAAAGTGATTCCTTGAGTTGTGGCAATGTTCGACAAGCTTTTCTAACATCAGCATCATGTTCGTTTGTTAGATGAACTAAAATAATATTTAAAAAAACACCAACGAACAGAGAAACTATGTAACTGATAGGCGAGCTCTAATACATACAGATAATGTAAAGGGCGTGTTCATTTATATCGAACGGCGTCAAAATTCCACTTTGACAATGGTAAGTATTTGAGATAAAGATACTTTTTTGTTGAATAGTTGCTGGTTTTTGTGAATCGTAGAATTTTGAGATTTTCTGATGATCTTGTGGAGAACTAAATTTTTATAAAAACTACAATAATATGTAGAAGTTTCTTAAAATAGTACGTTCGTGCCAAAAACAAAGTGCAAAACAAAAAAGTCATGTCGAAAAATGACAAATCCATCGTGACCAAGCGTCGTTTCGAGGCTATGACTCGAATGGGAAGATAATAGCATGTTATATTCTATGAAATGTGACTCTTTTCAATTCTGTTTTTTAGTGGATTTCTTATAACTGTAATGTAAAATAGTGAGTTTCTCTTTTTTGCAAGAGAATCAGACAGAAAATACTTTGAAAACCTCTTCATTCTACGTAATAATGAACGCTACTCGAACAAGTCAAGCTACTCGGGGAATAATTTTTGGGGAAAAAAAATGAATTTGTATGATTGCGAATCTCGCTTACCCTTTTACGGATTCCAGTAACTTGATTGACATATTTTTCTTTAATTTATCAAAATAGCTCATTTTATTAGTTCCTAAAATACGATGATCTGTTAAAATCATTCAAAATATGTATGCATTCACGACTTCATCATCCTTGTAAATAGTTATCGTAACATCATAGATGGATGGTAAAAAAACATGCAAAACTAGCTCTGACAACAGTTTCATCGGCAATGTGTTGTTGCAACACACCGTGTCCTCAAGTGAATGATAAGGTTTATCGTGAAGTGTTCTTTACTATGGTTATCGCCCAGTCAACTCAATCAAGTTGAGAACAAATATAAGGCTTGTTTCATGACAAAGAACATAAAACAATCAACGATATATTGAAGAGAACACATAAATTTCTTTTTCAAAAGTGCACACTCACGTAGTTAGTGAGATATTCTTGGTTTCGTTTATCACTACAATATTTGTTGAACTTTGGTGCTGTTTGTGGCAAACTGTAGCCGAATGAAACATACCTTGTTCTCGACAAAGTCTACATAGATCCATGTCATTCATCACATAATTCTCGATGCTCAAAATCAAAATGTAATCATAGTTAACTTCAAGATTTCATTGCTTAACATTTAACTTGCAAATTTCTTTATTGAAACATTCTAAAAATGAAAAATCGAAACATGCTCCTTTGTGCTTTGCCGATCTTCTTGTTTCCGCTCGCAGAAACTATTGTGTATACACATATATGAACACTACATCAGCGGATACACACGGTTTGTATCAGAAACCTTGAATGAGCATCTCAAAACAAATTCAAAAACCAGTCATGTGGATACACATCTTATGCACTCTGTCATAGATGGTGTGATTGAAGGATAGAGAAAAGCACAACTATAGGGTGTGTGGGTGTGAGTGTGTGGGTGTGGGTGGGTGTGGATGTGGGTGTGGGTGGGTGTGGGTAGGTATGGGTGTGGATGTGGGGTGTGGGTGTGGGGTAGTAGCGTAACCAGAGGGGGGCAAGGGGGGCTGAGCCCCCCCTACGAAAGGTTTTGCCCCCCTTAGAAAAATTTCTATCCCCTTTTATTAAAGAAAATTGCGTTTGATTTCTGTAATAATAGAAATCAACATACAGCTTATTCATAACAGCATGAGGCATCATCAACAATAAGAAGTCCAGAACTCGAAGGAAAATCCCTTAGAAAATGAATTTCTAATGCACATTTTTCTTGCATTTTTAAGAAGTTTTCGCTTCGCGACTTAGGTCTGTCCCATTAGTTTTCATTTTGATCAGTCTTCTCTCCATTTCGAATTAGCATTTGAAATATGATTCGTTTATCTGTGTGACTTAGGCAATGGGAAGCTTTGTATACGCCTCGCGTTTATCTTCCACTTTTAACACAGCGATTGAAAGCGTAGAGGACTTTAGTGGCTGAAAATATATGAGTGCTATAATTTCGTTCTTGTCACTCCAGAAGCGTGAGTTTTTATTTCATTGAACTATACAATATTTTAGTCAAATCGTTTTTAATACGTTCCAAAAAGGTGCCGCCTTCGGCGGCATGCTCTCCTTGAATAAATAATAAATCAATGCTTTTTATACCGCTATTATCTCATCAGAAATTTTAGAGTCTAAGAAGAAACAAAATTTCTCACTGCGTGGTATTGTCCAAACAATAGTATAGAAAAGAACGATGAGGAACAGTTTATATGGTATAAAACATTTTACTCTTCTTATATTTTGACGCCAGATATGTCTCTTGGAGGTAGGGATGCACTAAACAGTAAGTAACGGGTAGGAGCAAAAGAAATTCTCGATATTTTCGATAAATTGTTTCGAAAAAGGGTGTTTGTAACAGGTAAATATGCGTTTTGTAGCACGTTCAATAGGATTTCGTATGTGCTATTCAATTTCTATACACGTCATGCGAACTAAAAAACTAGACAAAGAATTATGTTGTTTCGTTGTCTACAGTTGGGGAGGGGGGGGGCTGAGCCTCCCTACGGATTTTTCCTGGTTACGCCCCTAGTGTGGGGTGTGGGTGTGGGAGAAAAGATTAGCCACACCCACACCCCACACCCAGCCACACACACACCCATATCCCACACCCACTCACACCCCACACCCACATCCACAACCACACACACCCACCCACACCCCAAAACATAAGGTGAAAAAAATTCAATTGAGGTGCACTATCCAATATTCTTCACATAGAAATTCAAGAGCTAAAAAGATTAGAAATATTTCTTTGTCAGTTTATGAAATAGCAGTGAAACAAAGATGGGTCACAAGCAATAACAATTTCATCGTCTCCAAAATCACAAATCTATTAATATCGGAGCGAATTCGAGTTGGAAGCATTCTCAGCTAGTTTAAGGTCAAGAACTGTTTCTCTTCGCTTTCGTTCTTCTTCGTCTCGTCCTCTGTATGAGACTCGAGCGAATGCAACCATCAGAATGGATAATGCAATGATGATGAGAACGAGCAAATTGATTAACTTGTATCGCCCAAACGCAACGAAAAGAAGAGCAACACAAGCAACATTGTTCCACTGCACGAGGATGGAGGCGGAGAGAGATTCTGGCAGAGGAAACATGATCTCGGCCAAACTCTCGTAGATCAATGGCGATGCTGCTCCTTGAAATAAGCCGGCAAGGGTAAGAGCGAAACCAATGGTGACTTTTGTCGAGTCAATGAGAGGTGCGTCATAGAAAACTGTGCGAACAGATAGTTGAAACCAAAAAACTGAGAGCAAGCAGCTGACAAAGCAGATGAGAATAAGCATCTTGAGAGAACGTCGAAAGCGAGGTGTATCAGCCAGAGCTCCCAGGCACAAAGCACCAAGAATACCAGCCAGTGACGAGCCAAAACCGAACCAGCCTAATAAAAAGATAGACTGAGGATTACCAGTTGTACGAAAAAATTGCAAAGATCAACATTCGCCATTCTATATTGTTCTCAAGTGATCATATGACATTAGTATCATGTGATAAAGAACAATTTTTTGTTTAATTTTAATGTCAGATATAAAATGATATTATCAGTTCAATATACTAAAACTCTTATATTGCTGATGGAGTGCATTAAGAATCACTTTTGTTGATCGGACTCGACTTCTGATCATCTTCGGTAGATATACAAAAAATTGAACCAAACATGAATAGCGATCCTAAATCAACCCGAAGTTTATTTTTTAACAGAAGTACTTTTCAAAAAAAGGTATTTTCATGCGATATATACCAGTTTCTTGCTAAGAGTCCAGAAAACTTATTTTTAATCTACTGCTTCAATCGAAACCCGTCTGAAAAATGCTTAGGACGAAAAAAAATTTAGTTTTTTTTTCTATAAATTTGAAGAAGTAATCAAAATCTAAGGTACATGTACATACATGTAGTTTATTCATTGATTACACGAGATTGACGTTTCGATTATTGAAGACTGTAGTCCGTATCGAGCTATCCACGCTCTGCAGTTTTCATCCAAAACCAACCTTGTCTGAGTGAGACAACCTCAATTAAAAGTACGAGAACCATTGTGAAGGTCACTATGCAACATAGTAGCATTATGTACTGCTGTGATTCGCGTTTCAGTCAAATAGTATTAGTTTCGCATGAAAATTGTAGAGCATAAACCACTCGATGCGGGCTAACCTTATATTTTGATTACTTCTCCAAATTTATGAAAAAAACTGAATGCTTTTTCCTCCTACGCATTATTCTTACAGCCTTCGATCGCATCGGTAGATCAAAAATAAGTTTTGTGAACTCTTACCAGGAAACTGATATATATCCCACGGATTCACTCGAAGGTAAGAAATCAGTTACAATTGCACTTGCTGTTTTCTTCGATCTAGTTCAATTCCTCTCCATTAGGAGCTGTAGATTATATACTAGCATGCTCATCAGATTTTAACGACTCGCTTTATCGAATCGTCGAAATGGATAGTGACTAAAGTTCGCCAGGACTGAGAAAATCAGATTTAAAAAATGAAGATGCTGCATAAATCCATTTTCGAAGTTTTTCAGAAAAAAATTTGTCGAAATAATCTCTTCCTAATTAAAGATGTAACGTTCCATCAACAATTTCATCCTTTCAACAAGAGAGCTTCACAATAGTCTAAGATTCAACTAAACAGCGACCATTTATGGAGTAAAGAAGAATATGGAATTGCATCAGAATTTTAAATGTCATATATCCAATGCCTTCTGTGTGACGTCCTAAACAGCAACTCGTTCAAGCAACAAGCACTAAACTTACCAGCCTGTTTTTCAGAATAATGCTCGGGAGCAAGAATTGTGGCGAACAACCCAGTCCACACAGCAAACGTTCCGCTCATGACACCACCCGCTGTTGAGAGAAGAACAAATGAAGGATTAGTCATGCATTGTCGAAGACCTTTTATGTAGGCTATCAATCCTGAGTTGGAGTTTTGCTTATCTCCCCGCATGAGCGATTCTGCTGCTGCTGATGGGGCTGTTGGTGGCTGAGCAGGAAAATAGATCAGTGCAAGAAGTCCGGCCACGATCGCCAGAGCAAAATGAAAGTAAAGCAGGTTGGGCACGTTCGTGGGATGGGAGACGATCGAAGGATTGACGAGAAAGCTGATAGTCGCACCAAGAATGTTCGCCATAATAGCCAACGTGGTAGCTCGCGTTCTTTCCCCGGGAGCGAACCAGAGACATGACAGCTGAGATACAGGTGCCATTACCAAAGGACCACAAGCGGCATTGATAATCTGACCAGCATGAAGAAAAGGTAGAGATATAGCTTTGAAATGTGGATTTGAGGAAGAAATGATAAATGAAGGTATGACTCGAAGGGATGTGGCCACGAAAGACGCGACGGCTAAAAGAATGACAGCGCGTCGAAGTCCATTTCGGCTGTTGAGAAGAAGATAGGTAAAGGGGAGACAAGGTATGAAAATAATAGGTCCCCAATTGAGGAGAAGATCGACGGTGGCTGATGAAATGCCATAGTAGATTTGAGTGCTCGGAGAGATAGGAGAGAACGTGAGCCAAACAGCACACTGATTGAAAGCGAGAAAGGAAAAAGCACCAAGTATATAGAATCGTCGGCGATATAGGACATAGTCAGCACGTTTCGGCTCCGAAAAGAC